CCCAAAGGCATGCCCCAGGCATGCCCCTCTAGGCATGCCTCATGGGCATGCCCAGAGACCCGTGCCTCCTACCCTAGGCACGGTGTCCCAAGGCATGCCTCAGGGGCATGCCCAGGGAGGCATGCCTAGGGCATGCCCTTTGGCTAAAAGGCATGCTCTACTCTTTTATATAGAAAAACCTCAGATATGAAGTTTCGTTAATTTGATTGGTCAATTATCATAGTTGATTTGACATAAGTTAGGTTAATCAATTATGATATCTAGAGAGGGCATGCCCAGGGCACAGAGGGGCATGCCCTCGACAAAGGCATGCCCTCTTTGGCATGCCCAAAAAATTTTCCGTGCCCCAACCCTACTGATCTGAGATTTTGATATTATGAAAATTTTGATATAACAAAAACAACCATGGTCTCCGTTATATCGAAAGCCACTGTATAATGTTATTTATGGATGCTTCTTTATAACTTTACAGAACAACACCGAAATTCTAACCTTGGTAAATAATATCTTTGCCTCTTAACCTTATCATAATATATTATCGTTATGTCTAGTTTAAATTACTGTTACTAAATCCGGATCAAGCTCTACATCAACAAGTATTAACCAGTATTTGATAGAAATTGGCAATTATCTAGACAAATATAAATTAAAAAAAAATTATCTAGATCCAATTGAAAATTTTAACAGAATCGTTAAAATGTTTAAAAAGAAAAAAACAAAGAAACCTCCTTGTGATATTCCACGAGACTTGGAAGCACTTGAGTATGAGATTGATGAAAATTATCGACTTATATCGAAGAAAGGTAAAGATTTTTGATATGTTCAAATATTGTTACTATGTTTTTAGTAATTCAACATTGGATCCATTAGACGGCGAACTTTATAAATTTGAGGTAAAAGATAGGGCTTATAATGAGCGTTTGTATGATATTATCATAGGTACTTTTCTTTAGACTACTATTTAAAGTTATATACGCGTTTATAAAATTTTATTTTGCCCAGAAATAATAAGCTCCTTATAAATTTAAATAGAACTATTGTGTAATTGGATCGAAGAAAAGCTTCAAAATGAACTTGGATTTATAAAAAAGATACTACCTATTGGTGCAACAGAAAATGATATACATACTAGGATTTATCTGACGTATGCGTATGTTTTATAAGGGTTTTATTAGTTATTATTTTAATAATCTAAATAAACTTTTTAGTCCAGATTATGAAACAAATGACAAGATGATTATTTTCATTCCTGGAACAGCTCATTCGTAAGTAAAATTTATTCGAATTCATAATTTTTTAATAAGTATAATTGTATAAATTGGTCTAAATTAAGTTAAATTATAGAGTCGGTGTCTGGTCGCGAAGAGCTCTTATAGATATTTCTGTTGTAGTATGTTCACGAATTCTGATTTCAAAAATTTTCTTAATTTTCTTGTTAATTTTATTTATTCAAATAATTCATATAATATAGGATGGATCAATGTTTAATTATGCAAAACGTGCTTTAGAATTGGGCTTTTCTGTCGTAATGTTGAATCCTAATGAAGTATTTTGGTATAAGGGAAAAGGAGTGGTAAGTAAAATTTATAAAATATATAAATAATTTTGTCGAACATAAATATTTAAATAAAATCGTATCACATTTATTATACAGCTTATTCTGCCAAAGACTACTGTACCGTTTGACACAATTCCAGGTAAGTTATGAGCTGTTCACGATTATAAAAACTTATTCTGAGATTTTGATTATTTCTTTCTGTTTTAGGAAGTGAATCTCCCGAAGCTCACACGAACTATGTATTTGAGAATATCGTAATGTATGCATTAATTTTATTTCTAATTGTTCTTTTCGTTGATAATATATGACGCGTTAAATCCCTCATTATACATAGACCATCCGCAGCACAGAATATTTTCATCGTTGCAAATAGCTACGGAGGTCATTGTGCTATTGATGTTATGCAAAACCACTGTAAGTTATACGAACATATATTTTTATTATGTACGTTATTTTAGTGATACTTTATCTAACTTATATGTCTTGACTTTAGTTGATGAGTTACATGAAAGGGTAAAAGCTATCGAATTTACTGTTTCAGCTCATTCTATTGATTTTGTAAAAGCAGATCGTATGAAAGTTTGGATAAACAAGGTATTCATTTTAATTATTTGATTAATTCGCGATTTAATAATATAAATTAAATAGTTTATATTTTTTAGCACTGTCGAAATTGGCTTATGTCAGACCTACCAATAGGAGAAGAAATATTTGATACAAGATTCGGATGTCACTCTTTTTCATCGGGTAAGTCCATTACATAATAATAATTTGACTTATTTCAATTATTACATATTATTTATATTATTTATATTATTTAAAATTAATTTAGGATCTGAACTTATCGAATATATAACTTATGCAGTGATTGATCTGATTTTTAAATTTATTGAAAATAAACTGAATAACACTGAAAATTGGCAAGATGATGCATATGAGACAGATGAAGATCTTCCTGATGATATAGATATCCTAAATATCAAAAAAACCGACTAAGCCGATTTTTCGACTTGTCGTATATTTTTTCAAAATCGGCTGGTCGATTTTTATATATATACAAGAATATTAACATAGCATGCAATATATATACAAAGTCACTCTACATAAAATTAATAAATTTCTTGTTATAGTGAATAAATAAAAGATAATAAAAAAATTTTTTTTTTGTAATTTGTGAACATATTTTAAAGTGTATAATATTTTTTGTAATTTGTGAGCTATTTTAAAGTGGATAAATTCTGTTGGCTTTAATTTTTTTAAACGAATTCTACATTTTAATATAATGACAATTTATATAAAAAAGTATTGGGTATACTTTATTTTTTTTTTTTAAAAAAAAAAAAAAAAATGTTTTTGATTCAATCCAGGACTTCTGAAACTTTAGATCTCGTGTGATTATAAGTAATTTGACTTATATAATTTATATAAAAATAAATACCCATTAATTTTACATTATTTATTTATTGATTTTTATATTATAGTACAATTTTTGTGTATATATATATATATAATACTACAATAAAAAAATTTAATACTATTACACCAAATACGTATATTATATTATAATTTTTTTTTTTTTTTTTTTTAATGGATATATTCGCCACCCCCAATGTAAATTTTTCACATTACCTTTTTTTTTCCCTCTTAATATCCAGAATGTTAATTATTCAAAAAAAAAAAAAAAAAATGTCGATGTCTGAAAAAAAGAAAAAAAAAAAAAAAAGATTGAAATTCTTCGGGTGATAGTGATTAACCTTTTTTACCTTTTTTTTTTTTTTTTTTTTTTAAACGGCGGAATTGTTCAAATAAATCAAATTTCGTAGTAAGTAATAATAATATTAAAATTCTTTACGTTGAGAAATATGATTATTTTCTTCGTATCCGCTTGAATATAAAGTACCAACCATACCAGTATGTGGACTATTACTATAATTTGTACTATTTGTATTTGATCTTGTATAAATAGGTTGTGACATTTGTGAATTATGATCACTAGGGGATGGTATATAACCTTCATTTGGAGTTGTACTAACTGGTGAAGAATCACTTAATGGTGGAGGAACCATTAATGAATCTGTTTTCTTTCTAATATTTCTTGCATTATTATTAAATGGTGATACAGGTATATGTTCTGATTTTTCACTACCATACATTGTTGATGCTGATGATGGACGTGTTGATGGTATAAAATTTTCTTCAGGAGATAAATTAACTGATTGTATATGTTGTTGTGAATTACGACGAAGTCTATATCTTTCCCATTCAGCCCATCTTCTCATTGTAATATGTGAACTATCAAATTCACCTTCTTTTCTTGAATGATCTCTACCACCTTCTTCTCCTTTTACTAAACGAGTTTTACCCCAAGAAAAATCATCAAAATGCCAAAATGCGTATGATGGAAGAACAAAATTCCATATAGGTAATGATAAAAGGTAAATCATCATCCAACCAACATAAATAACTTTACGTGTTGTCACCAAAATAAGAATAGCAGGTAACCCTAATACTGCTGCTAAAAGAAGTAAAGGAACTATAGGAGCAGGTTTTTGAAAAAATGATATTACTACTAAATACATAGTGAAAGAGATAGCTGCAGGAAGTACAACTGTTCCAACCAATTCCATAAATATAACAAATTGCATGGAAAAACAAAAAGTTCCACATAAATCAGGAATAAGAACAAGTTCTAAAAGGTTATGTACAGTAGAATTAATCCATCGACGACGTTGAGAACGAAGTACATGAAATGTATCTGGTACAACAGTTTTACAAACTGATTGAGGAACAAATAATGTTTTTCGTTTAGGAAAATTTTTAAGCATAAGGGTAGTAAGATAACGATCTTCTCCTAAAAGAAGTAAATTTTTCTTATGAAGTGTATCAACAATATTTTCAGAATATTGTTCAACAATGTCTGGATTAGCTAAAATTGGTACCCAATATCCATTCTCTCCTTTTGGTGCTTTAATTCTGTACATGCAAAAGCATCCTGGTAAACAAGTAACACCACCAAAAATCGATTCAAACGCTTTTTGTAAATGATGATTTATATAGTATTCGAAAACTATATAAAAAAGATATAATTTTAGTCTAAAAAAATATATATATATAATAATAATTCATAGATAAATTCTCAAAAATTTCAATAAAATTCATAAAATATACCTTGAATCCTTGTTACCCAAGTATCATTTTTATTTGAAATCTTTGTTTCTCCACAAAGACCCATTATACTTGCATCATGTGACATACAAGCAACCATACGAATCAATGAATCAGGGAAAACCTTGGTATCGGCATCAATCTAAATTATGATCTCTATTAACATTTTCATTCAACAAAAAAAAAAAAAAAAAACCATAAAAAAAGTATTTTTTTTTTTTTTTTTTTTTTCAATAACTATATAGTACTAACCATGAGAACTACTTCATAAAAATCAGGAGTAATTGAACAAACCGTTCGAATTGCGGTAAAAAGTTCATATTCAAGTCGAGTCATCCTTTCATTAAACATAACTTTTTGTAAGAAACCCATTAAAATAATTTGGGAATCACGTTTACCACGATTTCCTGCTTTTGGTTCTTTTTCTTCACCAGGTCCACCACATTTAGCTATAGTAATCATAGGTACACGATTCATATCTCCATCTAATTCTCTATATATATAATAACCTGCATAAACTTTTGCTTTATTATGACGTTTTTTACCATCAGCTATTGCAACATAAGAATGAGGTTCAACATCTTCAGGAGGAATAACGAAATCATCCATTAATGAAACACAAATCTCCGGTGTTGTATGATCATTACTATCACCAATAATTTGACCATCAGCTATACACATAAGTAATTTATGTGTATTAGGATATTCTGTTCTAGCTAATGAATCTAAAGTTGTTTTTATACCTTGTTTACCTTCAGAGTAACAAGTAACCAATAAAATTGTATGCATTAAAGGAAAATTATAACGTTGTTGTTCATTAAGAGTAATATTATTAATATTTGGTGTATTTGGTGAATTTGATTGAGCAGCAGATGATATAGATGTCATTGATTCAGCTCGACTTTGACTATTAAAATCATTAATTGACACTGATGATGGTCGACTATTTCTTGAACCATTTAATTCTTTTGTTACCACCCCTATAATTTTTATTATCAAAAAAAAAAAATTAATAAATAAATAAAATAAAATAAAATAAAATAAAAAAAAGGTCATGATTAAAAAAACGTCTACACACTTGAGCGACTATCAGTTCTTCTATATGGTGGTGAAGTATTAGCATTAATATTAGGAGTTGAGAATCGAGACTTATTAAGAAAATTAAAAGATGTAGATGAATTATTTCTTGAGTTGCTAAAAATAAAATAAATATAAATATAAATAAAAAATAAATATAAATAAAAGGCTAAAAATGGTTTTTTTTTTTGAAAAAAAAAAAAAAAAAAAATTAGAATGATGATTTCTTACTTTACAGAAGGATAAAAGTGATTATTTTCATTTGACCATAATTCAATCTCACGTTCTCTTTTTGCAATTTCTTCAGAAGTTTCCTCACGAAAACTTCCTAATCTCCAACTTAATATCCATCCAAATATAACAGCCAAAAAAAATCTAACTAAAACTACACCAGCTATAAAAATCAAAGAAACAATCATTACGGCAGAAGATATGACACAACCGATAGATATGGTATCAACGACACCAACACGTAAGGTTTGTTCCATACACTTTGCTAAATTTATATTCGAATAATTTTGTTGTAAATAAAAAGTCATATCTCGGCCACGATACTGGTTTGTAGCAGAATATTTCATTTGGTTAAGAAAGTCAGGTAGTTGGATATTTGGTACTGTCCATTGAAGACGATCCATATCCAAAACTTGTCTAATAATAAGATAAAAAAAAGAATTACATCTAGCATTCATTACAAACGAAAAAGAAATGAAGAATAAAGCATACCCATTATAAACGATGTAATTATGATCAGGAGATTGTACATCATCCCAGTCATAAAATATATCACCAACATATCTCATAGAAGATACAGAATTTCTTGCAGCGTTTGAACCATGACAAGCAATACTAGTAGGATTTAGTGTATTATTTGGAGGGACAGGATCAAAATTTGAGAGTGGTACACAAGGGAAATAATTATAAACGTCTCCAGCGGAATTGGCAGCTGTAATAGGAACAAAAAATCCTTTGCACGCTAAGTTGGCAGCCTGAAACATGAACGTCAAATCACTGCGACTAATAACCTTTTCAAAATTTGAACTATTTATAGCTGGAACTGAGGGTATACCCGGAAATGAGGGATGAGGAAAGTTTTTAGTATTAACACTAAGAACTCTACCAAGTATGGAAATCTGATTAGCAGCAATTGAACCAGAATGAATTCTTGTAGGTGGAGCGCCACAAAAAACTTGATCAAATCCAAAAGTCAAGAAACCGACACCTAAACAAAGAGTAAGTATAATCACAACAAGGGCAACTTTTTCACGCCAAGCATATTGTTCCTCTTTATCTTTTCCTAGAATATAAAAATATATAAAAAATAAAACATAAAAAATAATTAAGATAAAAATAAAAAATAAAAAATAAAATAAAAATAAAAATAATAAATAATAAATTTTAGATAATTTCGAAAAAAAGGCATACCACAGCAAACCAAAAATGGAGGAGCCCAACAGGTGATACATCTTGAAAACATTATCCAAGCAGACGGGCATTGACATTTTTTCTTTTTTTGGGGATTTGGAAAAGCTTTATTATCACCTGAAGGACGACCTTGGCTCTTTCGCCTATCAATTTCTCTATGATTAGTAGAAAAAGTACTCCATCTCCTTTGTAAACCATCAACATTATTATCATTTCTTTGTTCTTCCAGTTGTCGATTTGCAGCACGACGATTATTACGTGCACGTTCCGGTCTTACCAAAGATTTTTGACGACGAGTTTGAACAGTAGGAGGATTTGTATCAGGGCCAGGAGGAATTATAGAATCAGGAGGTCGAGGACGATTATTCTTTAAATGGGTCATGGTGGATTTTTCAGCATCATCATTTAACATTTTCATTTCATCATCATGAAAAGTTTCATTAGCAGGTGTTACATCACGAGAATTTGATTCCCTTCTGCCTTTTTGATTTCTTTGATTAGGAGGAATTGATAAATCAATTGGTTGCCTTTTTTCACCTTTTTAAAAATAGGGGGGAAACATTAATTAATTTTTTTTATCTAGTATATATTTCTATGGAGTATCATATATTAAAAAATCTCAGATAATGATTAAATTATTCCGATCATAAAAATAATATTATAATTATATAAAAATTAATTATTATATTAAAAAAAAGAAAAAAAAAAAAAAAAAATTTTAGGGTAAATAAAGGCCATACAAAAAAATTTTTTTTTGGTTTATATAACCCGGCCTATAGACCTTTGAAAAAAAAATTTTCATATGTAAAAATCTCCGGGTCAGTTTTTTAAAAAAAAAATTTAAAAAAATTTCATATGTTTTTATATTTTTCTCTAAAAAAAAAAAAAAATCATATGAAATTTTTTATAATTTAAAATAAAAAAAGCCTGGCTGCCGGGTCATTTTTAAAATTTTGTTATAAAAACTTTTGTGTGGCCTAATTATATATATATATATTAAAAAAAAAAAAAAAAAGAAAATACCTGTAGTACTTATTTCAGTTTCTGAGACTACAGAAATTCGTGCTCTACTACGTTCTAAAAAATCAGTATGATTATGACTGGTTGTAGGTCGAAAAGCGGTTTGAAAAAAATCAGAATTTTCTTCATCAAATTCATCATCATTTTCATCTTCAGTATTATTAATAATTTGACCATCTTGTTCATCGAAATTTTGACTTTGAGGATTAGATCGATTTGAATCTTGAGTAGATTGATTATTTGGAGCATATTGAGTATATTGTTGATATTGGCGTGAACGATTCAGTTGACTACTCCGCCTTCTTTGTGGTTGATCTCTTCGTTCTGAAGTTCTAGATAATCCATTATCATTATAGAATTTATCAGGTGTATATTCACTCGTATTGTTATCAACAGGACTTTGATTTTGATCTTGGGAAATTTGTTGGTTTTGGTCGGGTATTGAAGGAAGAGGTCGAGATTTATTAGACATTTTTTTTACACTATTTTATAT